TCTTCCTTATTTGGCTAAGTCTCAGCTCCCTGATGTACTTAACCACGTTTAGGTCATACGACCTGACTGGTGTATCTCCTTGTGCCATGGTCTGTCTCTGCGATCCAATCCAGGATCGGGACATGACAGTTTTCTTCCTTAGTTTTACTAAATTTGACTAACTTTTTCAACACATACTTGTAAACAATGTGATATTTTTGACTAGTTACTATTATTTGTTTCCATCTCTTAAGTATTATTGTTATAGACACTAATGATGATTATTGTTATGAGTTAGAAGAAGGGTTAAAATGTTGTATCAATACGAGGCTACCAAAATTCTTGTTTATTAAGATGAGAAGAAGGCCATTGGAGTTTATTATCGCATATGGGAGATCCAAAGATGAGAATAAGGCTATTGAAGTTTATTATTCCATTGATTTGTAAATGTGTAAACACATTGTTAGCACATATATACATCTTGGGAAAATTGTTTACTGAATTTACAGAAAATACACAACTAAAGGAGTACACATGAAAATTACAAAACAAACCACAAACAAAACTATTATAGATCATTATATTTTAGTCATCTGGAAGACTTCCTGGAAGAAGTCGTCTGGAAGATTTCTTAAAAGTCGTCTGGAAGATTTCCTGGAAGTCGTCTAGCGCATTATATTTTAGAAGAGTTCCCATAAGTCTTCTGAAGTCTGATACATATCTGAAAAACATTTATATCAAACCCAGATTTGAAAAACATGTAAAAAAAAGATAGATTAATGAGAAAGACATAAGACAAAACTGAAAAATTCATATAAAGTTTGGTGTTTTCAAGTCAAAGAGATTAGAGTGAGTTTGGATACTTTTAGTTTTGGAAAAAGATAAGAACTATATGCAACATGAGTTACCAAATAAAGCAAAATTAGACATAAAAACTTATCAAAACGCTCAGATCTGTTATAAAAGGGAGAGACATTGGAGAAAAAAAAAATGAGTGGAAGATTAATTAAATCTATTGTTATAGAACACACAAAAATATATATCTAAATTAATAGATCTACCTTTAAATGAGTAGAAGATGAGAACCATGTGATGAAAAACCTGCAAAATAAGATAAACTAGTGAGAAAGACATGAGAAAAAATAATAAATTGATATGGTGTTTATAAGTACAAAGAGATTAGATAGAGGTTGGAAAGTTTTAGAATGATTAACTAAAATAGATAGACGACTTACTTGTAAGTCATCCAGAAGACTTAATATTTTTAGTGGAAAACTAAAATATTTTTAGCGGGAAAATAAATTTTAGGCGGGAATATTAAGATGAGTTATATGTAAGTCGTCTTGGTTTAAATTATTCACTAGACGACTTACAAGTTAGTTGTCTATACTCTAAACATAATCTCTAAACTTAATTAACTAACTAAACACTTCATAAAATCAAATTAAACTTAAAAAGCATTTACTATACACAAAAATAACACACATATGAGAAAATTTAATTAAAAAAAAAACATTCAAGCTTTCCAAAATCAAACCCTGAAAATACATATAATACTACAACATATGTTATCAAACCCTCAAACCAAAGAGTATCATGATTAACTACTTTTACTCATTTATGTTGAAAACTATTCATGATTATAATTACATGATTTTAATTTTTCACTTGTCAAAATATTTGATTTTAATTTATAAATTATTTTTAAGATCAACTACATCAGAAGACTAACCTGGAAGTCTTCCAGCATATCAAATGACTCGATTTACTGTGGCTATATTCGTAAAAGTGATTTATATTTTTTTTGTTTGGTCACAAGAGGTTAGCTATAATTTCACAAGGTTTTTAGATTAGTTTTGCATTTAATTTAAGGTTGGGTATAGATTTACAATTAAAATCATGTTTTGAGTCATATTTGACAAATTCTCCTATTTTATATGGTATGTAATTAATTTTAAATGATATTAACATACATGTAAAGTATATTTTTAATAGGATTATTTATTAGATAAGACTTCCTACTCATATGGTTTGATGATCATTTGTATTTTTATAATAAAAATTTTAAATCACTCATAAAAAATATTTTAATGTGATGTTTAAGATTTTTACTAATTTATGATCATTTAAAGAAAGCAATGTAATGTTCAAAATAAAAAAAATAGTAAGTCTCAATATTTTTATTCAAAAAGAAATTGAATTCATAATATTTATGTATTTATATGGTATATATATAATAATAATATTAAAAGAAATTATATCTTTTAATATCAATATTCATTAAATAAGATTTCTTATTTATGTGATTGTATATAGTTATAGTATATTTTTAAACCACTCTCACAAGTTTGTTAGTGTGGAACTTTTTATCAATTTTAGTATTTTATTATCGTTTTATTAATTCAAAATATAAAATATACGGAAAATCTAATTTTTATATTTTATGATTAATTTATTTTAATAATATAAAACTAAACATTTTATGATTCATTTATTTTAATAATATAAAATTAAATAAACTAATAGAGGATACATAATTGTTTTATCAAATCTTTACTAATAAAAAGCATAAACTATCATATATATTTAGTCACATTAGATAATTTTATAGTTTTTATTTAAGAATATAATAAAAAACATTAAAAACTAATAGAAAGGTTAACTTAATAAAATTTTTAATATATAACTAGACATACCAACCTATTTCTTTATGGATTCGAAGAATCAATTTGGTGACAACACATAACTATATCAAATATTATAATGTTTTTCTTTTAATATATATGAGATTAACAAAGGTTGCTTCACCAAACTATCTCTCTACACCTCTAAATCTGTCCATCGCTTGATTCACTGTCCAAAAAATTCCCCTTCACTTAGAAAATTTCCTAATCAAAAACAATCTTTCCGAACCTAAATCCGACCGCTCCACAGAGCAGAAAATCTGAAGATAGAACTCCTCAACCAAACAACCAGCTTGTATTAAAAAAGAATAAAGTGAGATAGACCTTTGACCAAAAGAAAAGAAAAGAATAAAGTGAGTTAGACCAATGCATCTTTGAATCAATGCAGCAACTTCGTGATGTGCCTTCCCATTATGAGAGTTGACGCTTGACTAATCCATATCGGTCAACATCTCACCTGGTTGCGTCTCTGTTTCACTTCCAACTCTTCGGTAGAACAGAACATATGCTGCTGAGCTTTTTATTTCAGATTCATTTACGGATGAAACATGACTGTCGTCGAAATGATACCATTTGTTGTCATCAATCAACTGCAGCAACAGTGAACACGTATGGTTAGATACATGCCTCATGACAAGTACTAGTAGGAAGGACAAGAGAAACAGAGAGCAAATAGATAGAGAGATCAACCTTAGCGTAGGCAGTATAGTGGCCACCACCAAGTCCACCGTAATGGTTGCTGACTGCATACAGCTCATATAAGTATGACTGGCCATTCTTGCTTTTCACGTACTTGCTCAAGTCTAGATCGTTAATTGGAAAGTTCACAAACGTATCTATCTTGTTCTTGAGATATCTGCTATACGTGAACCGCTTTAAATGGAACACGAGAATATCTGGCAGCTTCCACAGGTCAAGCTTTTTGTTAGCTTGTCTGTGCTCTTTGCATCCCGGACAAAACCTGGTTCAGAATGGTGAGAGAGATGGTCAAAGCTTAAATCTACGAATGAATTAGACCAGTTTATGCGATCACAAGTTCAAGGTACGCGTGCTATACCACATGTCATCTGGTCCTAGAGGTTCTTCTGCTAAAAATGCCTCCAAACAAGAAAACAGAGATATCGCTTCTTGCCTTGTCTTCTTTGCTGAGAAACTTGTTTTATAAACTTCTGGAAGGTCACTTAAGTAGCTGGAATCATACTTTTTATGCTCGCCCTCATTCCACTCGACTAAAACCCTTGTAACTACACCAGGGTTCACAGAAGAATCAGACTGAAGTGGTTCTAAGTCCAGACCAAGCTCATCGGTCAAAAAGAGCCTGAAGGTTAACTCTCTATCAGATGCATCGGCTATCTCAGTATCTCTATCTGATATAGTTCCGGATGTTTGGTCAACAGCAGCGTTGAGGAGGTGGCCATTTTCTCTTCCGTTTTGAATCTTAGATGAGGCTTGAACCTTGTGTAGCGGGGACAGAAATCCAGAGATCACTGCATCAATGTCGGATCCACTTAGTAGTTCTGTGTTGACATAAGTGACAAAAGGAGTCCCAAAACGCTTAATTTCTGTGTCTCTAACACTCTCTAGAACAGCCCTGTGGAATCCAAGAGTTATGACCCACCCATAAAGCTGATTCCCAGAAGAAAAAAAGAAGAGTAACAAAAAACGAGCATGCTCACCTTTCCGGCCCTCCATGAAGGATTTCAAGTTTTGCTTTTCCTGTTCCTTTCTGCATCTTATTCAACCGATACGCCACAATACGATCATCATCTTTTATCAAACTCAGTGACTCCACGGGATTTTCAAAATATCTAAAGATCTTGTGGTCATATACCTAGATGGAAGGGTAATGCCACACACTAGTGAGGGATTTCAGCAAAAAAAAAAAAATGAAGGAAAAAGATTAAAGGCATGCGTTAAAAGTAATACCTCTGCAAGTAAAAGGCTCTCATCATAGGTTAAGCAACAAGCAGTGCCTAATGCAGTAATAAGATCTCTACATGATCCATGTTTAGGTACTGTTACAGTGTATGGCATCGGAAGACGACTACCATCGCAATAAAACACTGTAACTGTCATTTGCCGTGTGAAGGTTGATGGTAGAGGTAAAGACAAGTACATAAAGGGGTCAAAAGTGATTGATATTTTTCCACAAACTGGGCAAACCAGAGTTGACTTGTATTGACCCTGAAAGGAATCAAATACAGTATGAGAAACGGTCAGGAATATCAAAGACAGAATCTTCCAGTTATTCCATGAAACAAAGAGATACTTACTTGGCAGACGTTAACTATTACAGAATCATTCCGGGCCTTATGATAGTTCCAACGCTCTTCCGCAACTTCATCGTCCGGACGACTGTCAGAATCCTTAAGTTCAATGTAAGGTTTTTGTTTCACCTTATTCAAATCTTCATGCAGGCCATCTAATAAGAAAGCAAGTAGCTCCTGAAACAAAAATTTAACACATCATAAGCCCAACAACAATGGCGGAATAACAAAATAACAATTAGAGAAATGACTCACCTGAGAATCATGTTGATTGTAGCCACTAAATTGTGGAGCAAATCTAGCCAGTTTTGTCTTAAAAGAGCGGGGTGCAACTGCATTCCTTCCCGATGACCATAATTTCTTTAACAGTTCACCAAACTCGATAGCAAGCTCACCCTAGATAATTAAGTTTTAGACATCATATTAAGAAGGTGCGTTAAAACCAAACATTAAATAGAAAGAGTCTTAAATATCAAACACTTACACGCATTCCCAAAGGATTATCTTTATTCAAGTCGTCCTTGTAATCTTGCAAGAAGTATTCAACTATCGGAGCTGTGTGTGCCAAACACTGAAGAGCGCTATTCATAAAGCAGGTGTTTCCCAAATTACTCAACCCTGCTAATCCTCCCCTCTCTCCCTTTCCAAGAATACTTAAAGAATCATCTTCAGAAGAAATTTTTGGAAAGAGAGTAAACTTTGACGTGGGGGAATGACCATTAGAAAGGGTTGGGCCTCCAGCAATTGTAACAAGAGATCTTGAAGGTTCCAGGGGTACCAGAGCTAGCTCATTTCCTGCCGAGCTCACAGCATATTTAGAAGATGAGGACCCATCAACTTCAAGAAGAATCTGCATGGGGATGCACCAGTCAATGTTGAATCAAAAGCCGAAGATTGAATGATTACAACAAAAACTAAAGATACCTTCATCTTGGTGCATTATCCAAAATCAAATTATGACAGATTGTACAGTAAGAGATATATCAAGATTTGTCATAGATGTGTAGAAAACAGTCCCAGATACTTACATCTTGGTCCATGTTAAGGCTTGACTCTTCCAGGCTCTTGTTAGATGAAGGATCCAAGAGTTTGCCTTTCCTCTTCCCGAAGTAATCCCAGATGTGAGCCTGCTTATACATATCAATGTCAAGCAAATAAGACACTGTCAAATGAAACAATACGTATTTTCAGCAGCAAAAACTAAACATAGAAATGAAACACTTCAAAACACACCTTTTCTTGCGAGACCCCTTTCATAGCACAAACCTTCTCATAAAGCTCCCTTATAGAGGCCTGAAAACCCAAAAATTCATTTAAGGAAAGGAACCAATGCAGAGACCCTTTCTCTACACATAAGTAGCTCAAAGCATCCATACCTGTTTTCCCAACCGTATTGCAGTTATACTTTTATCTCTTCCATCTGTCAACATAAGACAGAGAGGGTAAACCTCTACACTATAACTCCTACTGTAAAACCCTTGACAGATCAACTTCCTTGGTATTGGAGGCCCTCCGCTATACCTAAAAGACACAACACCAACATTTTATCAACAGACAGTTGCATTTTACCAGATAGAAGAGAATGCATTTCTGCAGCTTTGACAAAACTGGACCTTGTCCCTACAGAAACGAAACACAGTTTAATCTAGTAGAAAGAACGCTCACCATTCAACAAGTCTTTCCCAAACTTGTTGAGGAACTAGAGAGTAGTCTTCCCCTTCAACCATCAATCTACGAAGTTGTGGATCACTAGTGTCATCTGCGCTTTCGATAATATCATCGTTTTCAATTGGTCCAGGTCTTGGAGCTTCAGAAGACTCTACACTTGAACACTCGTTCGTTGGTTGCTCAACATACTTCTGCCAGCTTGTGTACCACCTGCATAACCCAAATGTTGATGCACACAACACATTGAATTTAGATAAACAGAACTCATCAAAGTATCGGAGTTTAGATCCAGAGTTACAAGACTATCCACGCACACAATACACTGAGTTCAGATAAACACATACACAAACAAAAAGATCCATTAAGCTATAGAACTCATCAAAGACCATCAAGAAGTTCCTAGATCCAGAGTTACAAGACTGTTCCAAACACAGAGATCGTAAGGACAACAATCATTCCATCAATGAAGCCTATGAACAGAACAGAACAAAACAAGGAAAATGATAATCTTATGAAAGTGGAGACCTTTTGGAGATGACGAAATACAAGTTTCCTTCCTTGAGATTATCCTCCGATTCTGTGGTCAGCTCCGAAACGATACGTCTCTCTTCCTCTGGAGTAAAGTCTGCGTTGTCCACCATGAAATCTGTGGAATTAGGGATCGTCATTTTGCGAAAGATGACTGATCGTCAGCTTGAAAGATGCGAGATTTCAACGAAACTCAACGGGATCCGATGAAACAGAGAGAAAGAAAGACGACAGAGAAATTGGAATCAAGGGAAGAAGAAAGAGGAACCCTAGATTCAAGGAGAGAAACTAAGTCTTGTTGGATTCACGTTTCTATGGTCTGTGATGTCTGAAAACTATAGTCCATTATTTTCAATTTTCTTACATTTATGTCTTTGCCATTACTTTATAATAATAACCAATTAGGTATTAGGTGTTTTCGTGCAACAAAAACTTAAATTATATTTAAAAGTAAAACATTGTTAATTTTAGATTTTATTAATAGCTGATAATGGTTAATTTTATATTTAAATTTACTTACATATAAGAATTAAGATAAAATATTTTATAATAAACATGTATATATTTGAAGATAAATTGCACTCAGTACACACTACTAAATCCATAATTAGGAGAATACCTGAAAGCACTATATTGCACTGTATAAAAAAAATAAAGATTTTATTGCCCTTGTCTTCTACTTTTTCCTCCACTCTCTCTCTCTTTCCTTTATCCTTGCAGACAACGCCACTCAATTGCCCTTAGTTCATCATCTGAGGCGTTGAGGGATCCAGCCGGTCTCGACTTAGCTCAGCGACTTTTGGTCGTCGAATCGGAGAGGGAATTCAGAGGTGAAGATGACGGTAACATAGCTGCCAATTAACTCGGCAATCCGCGGCCGAGGCAAGTTGAAGGGGTTCAGATTACTAGACCGGCTAGCGGATCTCAGGTCGTTAGATCGTCTGGCATGACTCAGGCTGCTAGGCAAACTGGTAGGGTCCGGGGTGGCAGACCGGCTGAGAGGACTCAGCCTATTGCGGGTCCTCCCCCGGTATCTGCGCGTTACTCGGGGAATGGTGTTTTTGAGCGGGGTTCCGCGGTTCCCCAAAATTTGATCTGTCAATGTGGCGCCTACTCGAACAAGCGCATTTGGTCAACATGGTCGACTTCCGATAGTGTTGAAGGCCTTCTCATGCAACTTAACGCGGTTGGGGTTAGGCCTTTCTCATGCAACTTAACGCGGTTGGGGTTACGTACTTGATTCCGACTGACAGCCAACGACCTTGGACTCACCCGATGGGATATCAATACGTCTACGAGTCATACTTCCAGCAGGATACGAAACTTTGGTTCCCAATACCGCGGCTCGTAACATCGTATGTTTCTTGTCGTGATCTGGCTATAAGTCAGTTCGTAAACGGCGTTCCACCTTGTCGTCGCGCTAATGGTGATGGCTGCCTAGATCAACATCTCGTAGTGTCCCCAGGAACTCGAAGAGTTAACTTCGATCAAGCCCCTGAAGAACGACCTCTTCATGATAAAAATGAGGCCGAGCTACAATGTGATTACAGGCCATCTGTCGAAGACCACGGACTGGCAACACTACTGTTTTTTTCGTCAAGTTGGACGAATACTCGTTCGTCGATCCTCCGGATAATGGATCTCGGGTGTTGTGGAATTGGCAAGCTGGTAGACAATTGTTGGTGTCGAAAACCGTACTCTCGAAATCAACGTCTGCGATAGCTTCTGTAAAAGGGAGATCATTACTTTCCGCAAAAGTGATTTTATAAAACTCAGAATCGTTTTATAAAACTCGAGAATCGTTTTATAAAACTCGAGAATCGTTTTATAAAACTCGAGAATCGTTTTATAAAACTCGAGAATCGTTTTATNGGTGTCGAAAACCGTACTCTCGAAATCAACGTCTGCGATAGCTTCTGTAAAAGGGAGATCATTACTTTCCGCAAAAGTGATTTTATAAAACTCAGAATCGTTTTATAAAACTCGAGAATCGTTTTATAAAACTCGAGAATCGTTTTATAAAACTCGAGAATCGTTTTATAAAACTCGAGAATCGTTTTATAAAACTCGACAATCGTTTTATAAAACTCGAGAATCGTTTTATAAAACTCGAGAGTCGTTTTATAAAACTCGAGAGTCGTTTTATAAAACCCGAGAATCGTTTTATAAAACTCGAGAATCGTTTTATAAAACTCGAGAATCGTTTTATAAAACTCGAGAGTCATTTTATAAAACTCGACAATCGTTTTATAAAACTCGAGAATCGTTTTATAAAACTCGAGAGTCGTTTTATAAAACCCGAGAATCGTTTTATAAAACTCGAGAATCGTTTTATAAAACTCGAGAATCGTTTTATAAAACTCGAGAATCGTTTTATAAAACTCGAGAATCGTTTTATAAAACTCGAGAATCGTTTTATAAAACTCGAGAATCGTTTTATAAAACTCGAGAATCGTTTTATAAAACTTGAGAATCGTTTTACGAAATCGCAAAAAACCGAAAAAGCCGTAAACGCGAACTAGTCACGACTAGTTCGCCCATCGGCGAACTAAGGACACTCCACTAGTTCGCCCATCGGCGAACTAGGGACACTCCTCTAGTCCGCCCATCGGCGAACTAAGCTTGCCCCGGCTTAGTTCGCCGATGGGCGAACTAAAAATCATCCCACTAGTTCGCCCATCGGCGAACTAAAACCTTCTCGGACATTCCGCGCCTCGATTTCCCGCATCCCCGATTCGAAACTTACGTCTTTCGACACGATCGCATTCTAAACTACGGCTAAAACGTCTCTCGTTCCATCTCGATCCGGCTTACCGTTCGAGTTTTACGATAAAAACCGTAAAACTTCGCTTTCTCGGAAAGAACTCGAGAAAATCGTATAAAACGGCAACGGTTAAACGAAACACCGAACATTGCCTAAACGATATGATTTATTCGAGATTTCTCGTTAAAATCATAAAAACGCGTTTTTTAATAAAAAACGCCGTGTAAGTCGTAAAAAACGTGTTTTTAATAAAAAGTCGAATAAATCGTAAAACTTCGCGATTAACTCGAGTAATTTATTAAAAACGGCGTCAGATCAGGAAACGATCCCGTAAAAAGTCGGAAAACGGTTTTTATCGCAAAACGGCCCGGAAGGACCTAAAACGCGATAAAAACCCATCTCATGATTTCAATGGAATCTAACCCGCAGATTTGATAACGTTTTGATGGTTTACTCGCAGGAGGAGAATAATGGCAAGTTTGAAGATAAATAGAAGTTTTCCGCGGAAGAAAAGGAAGGATCGAGAAAAATGGAAGATTCCCGAAATACTCAAATCCGGCAAAATGGAAAGATTGAACCGTCAAGGCAAGGAGTATATAAACCAGAGGCGTGGGGGAGAAGAGGGGGACGAAATCAGACCTAGAAGAGACGGCTGCTAGCTTAGAATTTAGGGCTTAGCGTTTAGACTAGCAATTGAGATCCTTAGAACGTTTTAACGTCTAAGTTCTTCAATTCTACTTGTAACAGTTGTCGATTCTTATTCAATAAAAGCTTTCTTACAATTTCTTATCTCTTTATTCTTTGTTGTTCATCCATATTCCTTTAAACCCGTTTGTTTTAGTGATTTCCGCAGAGATCCAGGACCTCGGGAAAATTAGGGTTTCACCCTAAGTTTCCATATTTGACGGAAAATCGACAGTGTGGATTTCGGTTCCCACAGTTTGGCGCTAGAAGGAGGGGGGGTCGGATTCTCTTACACAATAGTCGCTAAAACGAACGATGAATAACATGCCTAATCTGAACGGCGACGTCATCTCGTTCGAGAAAAGAGCAACGATCGATTCGGTCAAA